TGTGTGTGTGTGAGACAGAGAGACCAGAGACTGGGGGGCCCTATGACCGGACAGCGGCCACTGCTGATCATACAAGTCTGCTGCTGAATGTTTCATGGCCAAGATGATCTAAAAGGATAACACAGTGTTCTTGTGCATCCGGGTATATGTGTCTCTTTCTATATGTGTGTGAGAATGTACCTGAACGTGACTGAGGAGTCAGGTTGTAGAACAGGAAGCCAAATCTCTGGTTTCTATACAAGGAGGAAGCTGATACTTTAGAGACCCACACACACACACACAACCCAACACACACAACACACACACACACAGATAACAACAACAAATGCTACTAAGAGTAAATATTAGTGTTCACTGGTGTGCCTTTAAATTTAAGCATCCCAGTAAAAATCCTGAATAGCGCAGTAACACAAAATTTCAGTACTGTTAATGTCACACTGGCAGGGTTCATCTTTAAAATCATCTTCATATAATTTTAGATTGGTTAATGCATTTTTCTACCTTCTCACAGGAACCTCAATACACCAGCAAGGAAGAATTTTCAAAATACTCCCCCATATGAAACTGAATTGTGCAAACTCAAAATCCCGAAATAACAAACAAAAGTCATCCGCAGTCTCCTCTAAAATAAGACAGTAGAAAATGTTTAAAGTGGGTGTATCTCTTGTTGATCTCCTTCAAAATACATGATGACACACAATCATGGGATACAAGGGGTAGATTGTGTTGACACAGCAGCCATTTTGATTTGGAATAGTAGGCCAAACAAAAGATTCTCTTTCATTTAGTGTAGCAGCAGCTTTTCCAATGCCAACCTGCCAATAGCAGCACCCTGAACTCTGTTTTGACTTGACTGGAACAGAACCTTATTAGTATCAATGGTGACCTGTGTTTACCTATCTATTTCATGTCAAAATTGGCTGCTGTGAAAAAGGTTTATTATGAAAATTTAAAAATGCCCATTTTTGCAATGTTAAAGCTCCAGTGTGTAACATTCTAAATGGTTATACTGTCAGAAATGGGAATATAATATTCATAGCTATGTTTTGATCAGGGTATGACCTGAAAATAAGAATTAATGGTGTTTTTTGGTACCTGCTGTTTTTATCTACAGAATCCGCCATGTTGAACTGCCATATTTTCTACAGTAGCCCAGAATGGGACAAACTAACACTGGCTTTAGATAGAGCCTTTCCCGTTTTTCGAAAGGTTTCACAGGCCACCAAGTTACTTCTATTCCTAGGCAGCACAGCCTCTATGAAATCTTTTGCGTAATGCAAAAATTTGTCAGAAAGTCTCTAATGGAGCAAAATTCAGATTGTATTCTAAACAAAGGCGGTTCACTGTGAGAAATCATTTTGTGCACAGGGTCAGCCTCAATATCTTGGATGTTAAAAATCAACCACTTAACTACAATATCCCTGGCTTGAGTCTGGTCAGGTTCCTTTATTGCAATTTTATTATTTTATTATAACAAAAGTGAATTGGAACAGTTCTTTGAGAGAGCTATTATTTTGAATCATGCAAATAAAGCTTGCGTTTCCTCACTAACTGGGCAGCCACGAAATTTGCAAGAGACACAAGTCATACCTGCCAACAGCAATGCAGACCACAGGCAGCTGTTCATCCCAGTGAAAACAGGTTACTGTGGGAAGCATCGACCTGTACTCTATTACTGTATACTCACCATGCAAAATGTTCCCCTGGGTGCTGATGTTTTCATTTTCAATTGATCATTAAACCAATAAAATAACATTGGTGACGCATTGTCTAATGTCTACAAATCAAAGCAGCTCTAATCAAATTTTGTTTTTTGTGATAATTTTTATTTTATTTTGAGATTCAGACAGTTTACATCACCATCACAGAGAGCTACCCTGGCAGTTGGCGATTTCATCATACCACAGTCTGTGCGAGGGAAAACATGTTATGATTGGCATCATTTACTTACTACCCTCCCTCATCCACATGGCGACCATGACCCATACGCTTGTAAAGACCCAAAATAGTTATTTGTGATAAACCACTAAGACTAGGAAAATGTCAATGGAACTAGATGGGAATTTAATGGTAATAAGGAAGATTTGGACCATTAATTTTAAATAAGTCATAAAACTTCTAATGTAAGGAATGGAGGTAGGTGCTTTGCCCACTATACGTAATATATCAACACAAGATATAGGGAGATATGGTGCCTTGTATTGTGGAAAGTTATGAGGGAGGTACTGGGATTTTTCTGAGTAGAGGGTCCAGCGATGGTACATAAAAAGGGACTTGAGCCTTGGTAGCAAGAAGGTAGAGATGGAGATTTACTGAAAAGTGTTTGTTTCCTGTGATAACTACATCTGAAGGGTTATTAAAAAAGAACTTAATATCATTTTAATGAATTCTCTCGCAACAACAAGCAGTCCAGAACTAACCATAAATAATCCATTTGGAGCCAATTAAAGGCTTTTTCTGCCTCTGAAGATAAAATAGTACCATGGTGAGATGTAAATGTCTGTATAAAATGCAATCGGCGTATTGTCAGATGCTGAATGTGTCTTAATGAACACTGTCCTTATTATAGTGGATAAGTTTAGTTAAGATTCAAATTACCAATGAATCAAATGACGACAGTTCCTCTCACTTGTTGGAGTTTTTAAGAATCTTTCAGCTCATTGTTTCGGCGGCACGCAACTTTGTTTGGATTCAGTTCCACTCTCATCAGTGTGTTCCCAGAAAGAAATCAGATTAAAGTTATGGATATGCAGTGAACATACATTTTAGCCAAAAACTAATATTAACTGCTAAAGAGCCATCATGGTTTAAGGCTGCATTAACTGATTTTTGGCCACTATGGGCCAGCGAAAAAAAGCTGTGCAACAACAAACTTTGACGTTAGTATACATGGGACTTGTATACACATTGCTGTTTTACACATCAGCAGACATGGAGGCAACAGTACCTTAATTCCCAGTCCATTTTTGTCCACTGATAAATCCCAGGTTCCCATTATTCCTCTTTAGCTCAGTTTTGGTTCTCTACCTACTTCTGAAGGATATATCTGACACTTTACTGCTAATATTCTCCTCTACGTTCAACGCAGCCCAGGCCCTTTTAATCTGACCGCTGTTTGTGCTGTAGTTAGTACGTAAAGTGATTTGGTATTGAAAAACTAGAGAGCGACATACATCCAACCTGGCTTACAAGTTAGTACACAAACTAAAGCTTCGCTTTCATACTCAAACCGCTTCACTTACATACTTAGTTCAATCAGCCTGATTGGTGTCCATGCTCCATTAAAGAGGCTCAGTGGCTCTGTTGTGGTGCAGGTTGTACATTGACAGGTCATTTGAACATTTAGTCAAGGTTCCAGTTTCTGGCTACATATGTATGATTCAGAAGGGGTTACAGGTTGGGTTTAAATAGAGCAGTGAAGGTTTCAATGGATCACCCATCTCTGTGGTTGTGTGAGTGGGGGTATGCTGAAAAAGGAATGGCAAATTCAAACAAAAAAAATAAATGGCAAGCATCTGTTTTTAAATCTCTTAAGTATGGATGGGAACTTGGGCCTAATTTGTAGTGGAGTCAGATATTGGCTCAAGCTTCAGCAATGAAACTGGCTTCTTTTCTTAGTTCACTTCTGGCTTTTATAGAATCCAGCCAAATTTGTCTATTTTTTTTTTTCTTTCTTTTTTAAAAATCTCTTTTAAAAATAACAATCATTTATAGTATCATTATTATATGTATCATGTTTGCTGTAACATACTACATTTTTATGATGCCCATTACATTTAAAATATCTATATAAATGTAACTTTACATTAATAATGTTATTGACTGTTTTCTGGTGGGCAGCAGATGTTGCTTTCCTACCTGCAGGGCTAAATACCATCCAAACTGAAAGTAATTTACAATGGAGCAAGCATTATTTAGTCTACCTTCCAAGTGGTAGAACGGGGTGGATAAAATAAAAGAAAACTACAATAGCAATACAATTCAAACAGCGGCCACAAACCACAGCCTCCAACAATGACAATGCAAGTAGAATCAGAAACTCTTCATGAAAGGTTTACTGCAGGACTAGTTTGGAATTTGCAGTGGTTTTGTTAGAACCCCATCTGTAAAAATTTTATGCTATTCTTTAGCAGGCAAGTGTAAGTGCTGTCATATACCCTCCAAAATGATAAATAATCCACCTAGACCACAAGGCAGAGTTCATCTAAAATAAAAATATTTATTTTCCGATTAAATATCATTATTATATCATCATCATCGTCATCATCATCATTCTATCTAGAGAGAGTCCACCATGCCACTTTCAGAACTGGAGTAGTGCTAAGACATCTGTCTGTCTGTTGGGGAACATGATGGGGAGGGAGGAAGGGGGGGCAGACAGACGGACGGATGAACAGGTCAGAGGAGGTTGGGGTGGGGGGTTGGTACTTGTACAGGCTCACACTCCTGTTCATTCTCCATGCTGATGCAAACAAAGAGGGGATGACAAAAATGAGACATAGAGAGGAGGAGGGACTGAATTGTCTTTAAAAGTAGTTTGTCCTTGTTGACCTACATGAGACTGAGCTGGGAGGAAAAAAGATGTTTTGGGGGATGATGGGGGAGCAGCTTCAAGCTCATTGGTCAGGCTGTTGGACAGGGAACCAGGACAAGCCAATCGCAGACTGATACAGAGGAGGAGGGTGTATGTATACATGTCTGCATGTGTGTTTGTATCGAGGGTGTGCTTGCATCAATATGTGTGTGTGTGTGTGTTGGGTGTGTGTGTGTTGTGTGTGGTGGTGGGTGTTTGTTGTGTGTGGTTGTGGTCCGTATACAATAATCCGTGTTGGTAACTGGTCAGAGTTACTTTGATCCATTGTCACTGTACACTTGTCAAAGTTACTGTCACAACCGGGTACAAAGTTGAGGTAACAAACATCCTTCTTCTTTTACTTCTGTAGAGAGAAAGAGAACGTAAGAGAGAGAGTGAGAAGGAGGAAAAGAAAGACGGGACATGATCACACAAATCATCACATTTTATGTTGGATTTTCCCAGTCTACTACACTGTGAATAGTGATAGCAAAAATGTTGTCACCCATTAATAATGCAGTCCTCTGACCCAGTGGTTCCTAACCTTTTTTCTTAAGGGACCCCTTTTCTATCATTGAGTAAACTGACAACCCCATATTTTATTTATTTCCTATTATATTAAATGCATAACAATAACAATACAGAACAACTGATAAACTGTCAAATAAGCCCAAATAGTGAACACAATAACTGCAGGAGGTTTGGGTAAAATTAGTGATTTAGATTCATTTTGAGCCGCAGCCTCTAGTTTCAGTTTAGTCAATATTGCACCAGAGGTTTCCTGATATTTTTACAAACTTTTTATACAATTCTGTCTGTACTAGGCATTTCTTATATTTTTAACAGACAAACATTCTTAATAGGCTTAGTGTTTGACAAATCCAATGAGGTGGGTGCAGTAGGTAACCTTTATAATAATTCTTTTCATATTTGCTGAATCTTTCACTGTATTCTGACAGTAGAACATGGGATACATAACCTTAAAAAAAAGTGTTTCTCAGTCCCTTTTGAATATTAAAAAAAAAACATGTAAAACAAATAAAAAATAAAAGTGACCAGTGAGTTTAGTGTTACCTGCATTTCACCGCGCCGTAGTGTTGCCACTGGAAACCATGTTGTTGTCGGAGTTTGACAGAGACTGCTCCTTTATTACTGGGTCTGCAGGAGGAGAGAGAAACCACGGTTTCACACTTAAGTTAATGCTACTAGGACCATTTTAAAAGCCAGAACAACACTCAGGTTATAAATGGAAAAAGGAGCCAGAGGTTCAGCTTTAATACTGAGCACATTTCCTGTTGTGTGTTGCCTGAGGAAGCTGTGTGGCAGTGTGTGTCTTGCTTACAGAAGTAGGGGTGCTCCATGGCCTCTGTGGCGGTCAGTCTCTGTTGGTGGTCATAGCGTAGCAGCTTGTCCAGCAGATCCAGAGCCTCAGGACTCACCAAGTGCTGGTTCTCTGTCTGCACAAACTGTTCCCACCGCTTCCTGCTCTGCCTGCAGACACACAGACACAGACACACACACACAGCTGCTGAGGGGACGCCTACTGATAGTGACCCATTTTGTTCATTATGCCTGAATAGCATTCATTGTGAGCTCCAAAGTTTGTTTCTGTATTTGTCTGTATTTGACTCCCTGAGAATGAGACTCTAATCAACTATCTTTCTTGATTCTGATTGGTTGTTTTCGTTCATGGCCAGTTGTCTCATGTACAGTACTACTGTCAGGAAACAAAGCAAATATAACAAGAAGTTATTTTTCTAAAAAAATTAGATAACCTATTTACCTACTGCAGCTTTAAGAAGTCCTCAGAAATATCGCTAAGACGGTCCAATTGCTGAATGATTCTAAATGTTTTTGTTTTTAATCTTTTTATTGTTTACCTCTTTGTAAATTCCTGCACCTTTTCCTTGTTTAGCCAAGTATTCTTCGTTACTACCTCCTAGCTTCTCAGATGTTTTTACTGTGCTCTTATTTTATGTTTCTATGTGTTTTTTTATTTTATGTTTGTACCTCCGGACTATTATAAATTAGGGTTCTCCCTCAGTGTGTCTTCCAAGGATTTAGATAAAGATGATGATTCTATCGACACTTCGCAGTGATACCAAGAAACATAACAATTTGTTAAAAAAAAGTCAAAGAAAACAAAAGCAAAATTAAATAAATGTGGAAATAAACTAAGTAAAACGGATGCTGCAAATATTTTATACCTATAATACAGACATAATAACAATCTGAGCCACTCAGTGGCAAACAAGCACTTTTGTGGACGTACTTCGACAGTGCGCAATTGCCCACAAGGATTATGTGGCTTGTTTTGCAGCTGCAGTGCTCTCACTCAATGCTGAACCAAATTCCATCCATACCATGTCGAAAAAAATACCTTTAAAGATTTCCTGACTACTACCACAAGTGTTGCGTGTGAGTCAGAAGAGGGCATATGCACGCTGAAAGTTTTAAAATATCAAATTAGCAGTTTCAGTATTTTCCTCAAGGACTTTATCAGGGCAGAGGCTCTTCTGATATTCATACTACGTTTCTTTGCTGCCCTTCAGGATATTTTTAGCCTGTATTCTAATTTGACTTCTACACTACATTCAGCCCCAGAGCAGCTTCTGTATGTAAAAATAAGCAGAATGTGATGGGAATCCCAGAGGCAAAGTCAGAGTGGACTTACTGTCCTAGCAGGTCTTTGAAGCGCGGGTCCAGTTCAATGTGGTATTTACGCAGGTAGCCGAAGAGCTCGTCTGTCCCCAGGACCTTGGCAATTCGCACCAACTTAAAAAACAAAACACACCAAGTTTAAAAGCTGTGTACCACTCTGAAATATGAACAAATGTTATCACATTATGGTTGACACATTTATTCACAAATAAAACTCTATTCAAGAAGATTATTCTTTCTTTGTTGGTTTTACTTGTCCCTGATAAGACAGCATTTATTTTCCCCCTTGTGAGAAACTCGACAGAGCCCCCTTCCTGTTGCTACTGTTGACACTTGAGAGCGAGGTACTACATCTGATAAAGGTCCAGGATACAAATACATGTTGTCTCCATTACGTTTGGGACTTCCTGTGCCTAACTGAGACACAGGATGCCCCAAACAGCCCTGCGTGTGCAGAAAAGCAAGCTAAACTATTAGATTTGTTTTCCTGTGTTTTTCAGTATGCGTGCATGGAATCTTTAATGAATGACCTTTACCTCGTGTGTCTCATTTGATACAAATGTGCTGCTGTTGTGTGCTAGTGTGTGGGAGCGGCGCAGTGCGTGTCAGAGGTACCTGGTCGTAGTTGTCTTGTCCGTGGAAGAAGGGCTCTTTCTGAAAAATCATACTGGCCAGCATACAGCCCAAGCTCCACATGTCTAGACTGTAATCATACATCTGAAACACAAAATCATCAAACAGCACTGCCGATGATGAGAACAACAGACGTCAGATTTATCCATGTGTGGTGATAACATTTTGACTGGCAACATTTTAAAAATGTATGTGTGTGTGTGTGTGTGTGTGTGTGTGTGTGTGTGTGTGTGTGTGTGTGTTGTGTCTTTGTTTGTGTGTGTGTGTGCAGTGATGTTGCAGTCCTGGGTCTCTTATGCATTCAAATCCAAAAGCACGTAGTCAACTCACACCCTATATTTGTATATATATCTGTGTTTTTCACAAGCAGGCTCGGTGGTGAACGACACGCTAACATGCTGACAGATTCTATGTTTTTGTATTTTTAGCTGAGATAGACAAGGATTTGTTATAATAGATGTGTGATGATGTTTTGCCCTCATTGTTCTCTGTGAAGTTTGCTTGAACTGATGTAAAGCACGGTGTCGGATCTAATTTATGCCGATTGGAAGAGTGCTTCATATGGATTCTGTAAAGTAACTGATAAATACTCTTTAGTGAGTTTGCATTGGCAGAAGGGAATTTGTACAATGAGAATATTTGACGGGGCAAGAT